CTAGTTATTTTATGTACTAACAATCAAAGTATTATATAAAATGTACTAATTCGTACTAAAATGTACTAACAATTGAAACTAAGTAGATATAAATTGTAATATGTATGTATTTAGTAGATATAAGTAGATAATAAGTAGACAATAAGTAGAGATTAAGTAGATAAGAAATATAAGTAATATAATATATGTATTTATAAATAGATAATTAATATAAGTAGATATATAATATATTGGAGAATAAGAGAATTTGAGAAGATGAAGATGACGACAATTAGAGAGTAGAGAGTAAGATTTAGAAAGAGTTGGAGAAGAGATTTGGAAAAATGTTTAAGATTAGGAGTATTTATATATTTTATTACCCCACCACCACCCCACCCCCACCCTCCCCCCAAACTGCCCGGACCCCCCCGCCAGCCCACCCAACGGCTATATAGCCGTTTGGGTAGTCCCAAACAATTTTTGGCCCTAAAGATTTTTTTTTAAATGTAACCATTGTGACCCGGACCCGGGCCCGACTCGACCGGGCCGGGTCACGTTTTGTCGGAACCGAACCCGCCCCCCGCTGCCCCCCGGTTCGGCTCTACATCCGGTCCCGGACCACTAGACCGGGCTGGTCCCGGGCCCGCACAGTAGCGGGCCGGGCCGGGTGGCCCTAACCGAGTCCACCACTAGCTAACATCTTCAATTGCTGAAAGCTGTTATGAATAGCCAACATCTGAAAGCTGTTATTGCAACAATCTTAGAATAAGGTTGGACACTATGGTTATATGTGAATCACATACTCTGACACTAAATATCAAATTGACTGAATTTGACAATAATTACATGTGTATCTCATATAGGACACTAACACTACAAAAAATGACGGGATTCACACGTATTTGGCACGGATTTGTCGATGATTTCATGCTAAATAGCTCGTGCCAAATTATTTTTGGCACGGATTTGACATATCTCTGCCAAAATCCCTGCCAATTTCGAGAAATCCCTGCCTAAAATCCTTGCCAATCCAATGTTTTTTGTAATGTAAAGTTTTAAATGGATCAAATTTAACGGTTTCCTAATCTTTGTTGTACATCCACCATTTTTTTTTCACATTTGAAAGCTATTAGTATTTGTTTTTCCTATGTTTTATGTACCTAAAAAATAAAAATAAGTTAATTGGTGTATTTAGATTTAGAATATATAATTATATTTTCCAAATTATTATAATGTAACTGAATTCTTTACTATTGTTAAATCAATTTAACAAATTGATGTTCCCCAAAGTTCCATAATCATCATATAAATGAAAAGTCCAAAAAATATATTTAACTTGTTAAACATAAGAAGTTATTAATTAATATTGAATTATATATTCTAAAACCTCAAATTAAATATTCTAAAATTATATATATCAATTAAGTTAGTTAATTGACACAAAAAAGGAAACGGAAAATAAGGCTGGCGATTTTTATTAACAGACGAAGAAAATCACAAGTCAGTGTCCAAAACTATGAATTATGAAATCTTGATGGACAATACTCCGTATGAAATTCACAAGTAATTATAGTGTCCGATTTGATCCATTTGAAACCTTAGTGACCAATACAAGTTTCACAAATTACCTTAGTGTCCAATCTGACTATATATTGTGCCAACAATCTTTTATCAAAGTGCTACAGTTTCCTTTTTACGAACTTTCCAATTACCAATGCTGGCAATAGCTCACAATCACAAAACAATCAAAAGAGTATCTTGTTAGACCATTTGGAGTGGTGGGAGAGTCTAAATGTCAAAAATGGACTCCGTCCATATGAAAACAGTGTTTTGACTCCTATTTTTCTGTATTCCAGCACCGTCAATAAAATACACTCTGCACATTTTTTTACATATCAATTTAGTAAAACATTAATTAAATTATTATAAGTAATGTTTTTCTTTTAATTTTTTCTCTGATTAATTATAAAATAGAAAAGACACATTTCAATGTAAAAAAATACAAATTTCATTAATATTTTTTTTTACTTTTTTTGATGAAGTGAGTTCAAACACATTGGAGCATTTGATTCTTTTCTCACTTCGTATTATTACTATTCATGTTTTTCCTAAAATCTTTATGTATTTCTAGAACTTTTATGTGCCTTAAATAAAATTTGAGTTTGTGTAAATTACTTCTATCTTTTTAGTATCTTACTTAATAATGTGAAAGACTTATAACAACTATAATAAATGGAATTAAAATAAAAATAAAAGTGAACATTAAAATAAGCACACATAATTAAAATAATAACACATGGAATGAATTCAAATAACAAAACATGGAATTTGAAATTGAAACATAAATGAAAATCAACTTACAACACAATACAAAATAAAAACAACAATACTAAATAACTAGAAATCGAAGTGGGGACGGTACACTTCTTCTTCTGCGGAAGTGTCGGGAACATCACTTGAGGCATTTTGAGAATACCCCATGAAGGATACGCCACACATGCTCATATTTGAATGGCTTGCCATGGTTATCATTCATGAAAATGTTCTTGGCTTGAAAATCCTACAATATAAAAAAATGCGTAAAATGCATAGTAGTATAATTAAATGTTTTAATTACATAGTTATATCTATATTTTGAAAATATATATTATATACTTTATTAATTATAGATATATGTACTAATACTAGTATATACATATAGTTATATATCTCTCTCAGAAATATTAATCTAGTAATATACATATATATTACTATACACTTTATTAATTGTAGTTATATATATAGTTATATCTCTCTCTAAACATTTATTTATATCTCTTCAAAATATTAATATAGTTATATAAAATATATTAATATATACTTTATGAATTAAAATGAAATAATGAAGTAGTTTATAAGTTACCAAATCGGCTAAGTTCGACCCACTCGTCGGGGTTGCGTTCGCCTTCCGCACACAAGCTTTCCATGAAGAGCATTGGTGATTGATGATCTTGAAACGAGACTCAATTGAATCCCGACTCCGTGGAACGTCACAATTTTGCGAAAATGATACGTGAATTCGGCGCAAAAAACTCTCCCCCGGTTGATTTATGTCAATCGCACCATCTTCGGATATGCTTACCCAAGTGTTGCATAGAGCAACATCCTCACTAACACTCCAATTAGCACCTCTTCTTGAGGAAGACATCACAAAAATTTAGATAGTAAAGAAAATATGATGAAGAATGAGAGAGATGAGAGATGGGAACTCCTAACCCTACACAACTCCAAATGGTCTTAGCTAGTTTTAATTTGCCAAATATACACTTGGTAATAAATATGGTTTAAGAGCTTTTCAATTAAGCATAATTATGTTTTACTCCTTACGGACTATATTATCGTGATGTTTGGAAAATTACGTTTCCGTAAAAAAAAATAGCGATTTGCCTATTTTTAACATTTTCAATAAGTGAAAACGTCGTTTAGTCAATTTATAGGTGTTTGGCCCTAACATTTTTGGAAAGGAATCACTACAATGAAAACGTTGCAAATAGTAGCGTTTTGGATTAGTGTTCTTATATACGGAGTATGTCATTTCTTACTAATTGTTACGGCTAAACAACTAAATTACCTAACATTTTTTTGTAACCCGTTAATATATTCCGTCAATCAATCCGGCCGACTGAATCCGCTATTAACAACTTATTCCGCTAAAACAATTATTTTAGAGATATATATCTTCTTGTATTTTGTTTAATTAGGGATGGACCCAACCGGTTCGGCCCTGCCCGCCACTGTGCGGGCCCAACCCGAACCGGTTGGAGCTAACCGGGCCCGGGCTTTTACCCAGTTGGGGAGGGTTGGGCGGGCCGGGATCGGGCCCTATATTTGTTGAACCGGCCCGGTTTTTTTTTTTGTTTTTTCATTTTTTTTTTTCTTGGTTAGGGCTGGGGGTTTGGGGGTGGGGGTGAGGGGGGGGGGGTCGAGGGTTAATTAGAAAGCAAAAAAAAAATTACCTTGACCCGGGCCCGGCCCTGGTACGGACCCGGTATCAACCCGGGCCGGTTCCGGGCCCAACAATTTAAAAAAAAGCCCACCCGGGCCGGGCCCGGAACGGGTCGGGTCCATCCCTATGTTTAATAGGGAGTACAAGTAATTCCATACTACGTATCTCATAGCTGGCTTGTCAGAGCTTTCGGATAACTACTTCGTTTTAAACATGGGAGCTATCATCTCTTGATTCATTTATTATAGGAACGTGAGATTATCGTTACTACGGAGTACGGAGTATTATTTAACTTGTCAACTCGAAACTATGACAAAAAATTAATGAGCCATAAAGCGTGTGTAAAAAATATGATACAGTGTTATGAAATCTGAATCGCCATCTTTTCTGGAAACAATTTTGAATTAAGTTTATTGACTCAAAATGCTTTCACTTAAACTTATTTCAATCTCATATTGGATGAAATCATATCAGTCCAAACATTTACTACCAGAAAATTTCTGGTACAATTAAAAACGTCCTCATTGATTGGATTCTAATAACTACAAGAAGCCTGCGCTCGTAGATTGACCAAATCTTTGCCTAATACTTCTACACCATTTGTGTTGTTTCAGCACACCTCTTTGCCTAATACTTCTACACCATTTGTGTTGTTTCAGCACACCAAGAGGCCGTTTGGCAACCTTTATTTTCGGCTTATCAGACTTATCAGCCAACTTTTTTACCAAACATGTAAATTTTGCTTTCGCGCGCTGAATTGTGTAATAAGCCGAAAAAGTAAGGTTGGAGTTACTTTTCTGGCTGTATTGACTGAAGTTATCGTAGATGATCATTTTAGCTATTTTTACATATATTTTTTTCATTATTTTATTACTAAAATATATTTTAAAAATATTTTTTTCTTGTATCACCAGAATCAGCCAATGCAACCACTTCAGCCAGAACTTCATAAATTTCAGCAGAATCAGCCAAAACAGCCGATTTTCGTGCTACCAAACGGGCTCCAAACTGTTTTTACTCTCTCAAGTCTCAACAATTACTGCAAAGTATATATACTTTGAAATAAAAGACAATGAATGCAACACACTTTGAAACTTTTCCAAATCAAGAGTTCAAGACGCAAGTGCATATCCATAATGATGACAATAACAGCAAATAGATAATGGTTATGGAAAATGATGTGCATTTCCATTTTATATTACTTAGTTACATCATGCTGCTGACCACTTACTTGTACTATTTTCAGTCTGCCACCTGCATTTGCCAGTATTTATTTATTTATTATTTATATATAGAAGGGGCAGAATTTGAAAGAAAATAATAGATGGTTCAGGGGAAGGATGGGTCAGGCTTCTCTAACCCCTCCAAGGGGCGAAAGAAGGCCTTCTGCTCCAATACTGAATCGGGTGGTGCAAAGTCCCCACCGGCAGCGGTGGCGCCGCCGGATGCTGTATTAACGGTGTCGGGTCCAAATACGCCGGTTTGAGGGTGAGGAGCCCAGTACTTGTCTGATTGGGCCTCGATTATTTCATCTGGCACAGTAGAGGGTTGGGCATGCTCTTCTATGTTCTTGTCGTAGGCCGATGCATGCACGGCCCTCCTACACATTCGAATACCGCCATTAGTGTCTGTGTATTGGATAGGGAAGACAAATAATGGCTTCAAAGTAGGTACTATAGATGATTAAGAATGATGATGATGATGATATAATACTCCCTCCGTTCCTATTAAAATTCCCAGTTTGACTTCACACAGATTAAGAAAATAAATTTGACTTTACTGTGGAGTGCACTGTTTGGCACTGTTTGGACATTGTTTGACACTGTTTGGCACTGTTTTGCATTGTTTTGTTTCCTACAATAGAAGTGTGAACTTAAATAAGGGACATCCCTAAAAGGAAAGTGAACTTTAATACTAACTGGAGGGAGTATTAACAAGTCCATGTTCAGTAACCTTGTTTTTTTTATTCATGAGCCTTGTCTACTAATTTTGTAACAAAATGTTTAAAATTCACGAACTAACATACGTGATGGCAACATTGACCACAATAATTTTTAATTTCGTTTTTCATAATTAAATATGTTCAGCTCTAACCCCATCTAATCTTAAGATACCGACTTTTAATTAAGATCTACTCTGTAGATAAACTATTGAGTAGCAATAAGGAGTAATTGTTATCGAGACTATTAAAAGCTAGTAGTGACGATTTCTACACTATACGTACGTAGTACTAGTAATTATTTTAATGATACTGATAAGTATTTTTTTTACAAGAGGTTAATTTTAAGCCATCTAATTTACTCGTAGTGAGAGTATGTAGGCGACAACAAAACCCCTTGATGCACCACCAGCATGGATAAGATGAAATCGACCACACACAAAAGATTCCTGGGTGGTAGGTGTGTGATGAGGTCAAGAGGAGACGAGGTAGATGAATCGGACGGAGATGGTAATAAGATTGTTTGATTTCCAAAGGTATGGTGGCCCTCGGGGTGGATGATCATCACATGAAATGGACAGAAAATTATGGCCCAGAAAACATGAAAACCTTTTTGTTTCAATGATAACAAAGACACGTAACAAAAATGATGTTTGTACCCACTCTTACCATCATTTTTATACTCACCCATGTTTGTGAAAGTTTTCTTTATCTAAGAGTTCCGTTCACAGACAATTTTTGTATGTGCAAAATTTACACAAACAAAACAACACAGACAAAAACAAACATTCACAAACATGATGAGTATAAGGTGGAGTATAAGGGTGGATACATAAAAAATGTTGCACTCTTATTAAAAGATAAGATGAGGTATACTACGAAAAAATGAGTGACATGAAAATTCAAATAGAGGTTTTGGCACGGATATACAAAATTCAAGTCAAACACGACTTATTTAATACAAAATCATCGATCAATCCATGATATATTCGTATTAATCTCGTAATTTTTTGTAGTGGAACTGAAACGTTAGTGATAAGTTTTTTACAAATTCAAATAGAGGTTTTGGCACGGATATACAAAATTCAAGTCAAACACGACTTATTTAATACAAAATCATCGATCAATCCATGATATATTCGTATTAATCTCATAATTTTTTGTAGTAGAACTGAAACGTTAGTGATAAGTTTTTTACGGTCTAAATTTCGTATCTATTACTCCGTGCTAGGTGAATGGTGATGTATAAGTTGTGTCTATTTGAAAGTTTGGAAAACAACTTGATAGGTGTATAATTGTACTACTATAAATGAATCAAACTAACCAACCTTGAAGAGTTGTCGGTATTCGGTAACATAGTACCAAACAATCAAGCAAAACATTATTACTCCGTATTTTCTAATAATATATTAATTTAACCTAATCCACCCAAAAGATGTACTCCATATTAGTAGTCATAACTGGCACGTTATCATGATATGGACTCCTTAACATTGATAATTAATATGATAAGTTATCCATGGAAACCCAATGACATAAATTAAAGAAGGGTCAGCAGATATTGAATGAAAACGGCTATCCCAACCACCACTTGTACCACATTAACAAATACTGGAACCGCATATTTATTACTCCTCTAAATGTAAATTATTTCTATATTATACTCCCTCCCTCCCTCTTATATTGTCCCGTTTTACCTTTTCGGGAAGTTCCACTAAAATTGTCTCATATCATATTTGGTAAAGTTTGTGTGGTTCTAAATCATTCTTACTTTATTCTTACTTTATCAATTAATATCAACCACACAACCTCACTTTTCTTAATAATCGTGTCACTCTCTTCCGACCCCATATAAGAGGGACGGAGCTAGGTAGTACTCCATATCTCCTAATTAAGATAAGCTATTTCATAGTTTCATTTTTATTAGGGTCGTGACGAGAACTTTTTACTTGTCTCCACTAAAGGGGTGTGGAGAATTGGAGAAATAAAACTAAACCAGGAAGACCATGGAATCCAGCCGAACCAAAAAATATTAGGACTGTACTGGTTTTTTATTACTACGTATGAAATACTATCGTATTAAAAATAAGGAATTCGGTCCTTTAAAACGAGGCAAGTTTTGAAGCGATTAGTTTTTTGGTAGTCTGGAATGAACCGGTCCGATATTGGGTTACAATTTTTGTACTGGTTTTAGCTAGATCCGGTTGTGTACTTGTACTCCCGCTGCACTTGGGAAGTGCCATTAAATTAAAGAGAGTTAATCATCACTTAACAAATTACTAATGTCCACATTTCCCCACCAACCACGAATAATTCCCGCACTATCATAATTAACGTTGCTGCTTCACAAAGTTAACTCCCTCCAGCCGGACCAGCCCCACATGTCAATTAACTTTTCATAAGTTCAATAGGAAAATATCATGAGTGCGTACTCTATTCGCGTCAAATAACTTTTCTTTGGCATACAAAAAGAAAAAAAGAACAACATTTAAGAAAATGATTTTGTGTCTGGCTACAAAATCTTGTATACGATACATAAATTAGTTATAAAAAATCACAAAACTTATAAAATATAAATATAAAAGAATAACTAATACTTCGTAGATAAATGAAGTTGTCAAAGTTTGGTGGACAAAATTAGTACGCAACTAAGCATTATATGTTGTGTACTTTTAAAAGGTGGAATATCCCACCCAGAGCCCCCACCTCGACCCGACAGAATGGTGGAGGGGTTAGTTACGGTGACTCAGTCAGGAGTCAGCAGAATGACAGTAGGCTCATACACCCGTGCGCACCAGAGGCTCAGCCTTATTTCAGGTTATGTGACCGCCACTCGATCGCTGCGGGGATTCGAACTTTGGTCCATTGTTCCAAATCTCCCGCCACTTGACAAACTGAGCTACCCGGGTTTTAATATTCATTCCTATTCTCGGGTGTCATACCCCTCTTCGGTTGACATCAACAGTTAAAAGGTCTAAGAATACTACGTACGGAATAATAAATAGGCGAAGTACTTCTCATATCAGGAAAAAAACAACTTTAATTTGCTATGATGATGGAAAAATAATAACAAAATCTTAAAAAATTCCATTTCTTTAACCAGCAAACTGGAAATCACTACCCACCACTAAACAATAATCGGGGGATGTGAAAGACAAAACCCTTAATCTATTAGAGGCCGTTTGGCAACCCTCATTTTCGGCTTATCAGGCTTATCAGCCAACTTTTTTACCAAACACGCAAATTTTGCTTTCACGCGCTGAATTGTGTAATAAGCCGAAAAAGTAAGGTTGAAGTTACTTTTCTGGCTGTATTGGCTGAAGTTACTGTAGATGATCATTTTAGTTATTTTTACAAATAATTTTTTCTTTATTTTATTAATAAAATATATTTTAAAAATATTTTTTTCTTGTATCAGCAGAATCAGCCAATGCAGCCACTTCAGCCAGAACTTCATAAATTTCAGCAGAATCAGCCAAAGCAGCCTATTTTCGTGCTACCAAACGGGCTCTTAGTTGTAAGAAAAAGTTAAGACCATTAATCGAAACACTACTATGGTAAGCAGTCAATCTATGAATCTTTCATCTTTATACGACATTTCTCCTACACCACTCTGTAATCAATTGAACTCATTTCACTAAATCACATAGCAAATTTAACGCCGTAGACTGAAAAACAGATTCTATACATGGCATAATTTCCATTAAAGATCGATCAACTGGCCAAATTATATTAAAAAACTTCCAAATTGGTGCTACCAATCCACCATCATGATCATCATCAGCTACTACAGATCGAGCAAATTTGTAAAAATTGCACAGAAAGACCGAAACAAAACTCCACTCAAGCTTCTATATTGAAGTATATCTCGAAGAGAATGCTTATAAGTAGGTTCCCAATTCCCAATGTTTTTCCTCTCAATACACAGGGAAACGGAAATGAAGATATAATAATTTCACACAAAAAAAATAGTTTACGGTATCACAAACCAAAACGATAAAATGGCAATAGTAAAACATAAAAAATACACTTCTTCAAAATACACTATTGACCCCTAATTTCGAGAATTATTCACACTTTTAATGGAAACAAATACCTCTGTTCTAAGAACAAGACATAACTACTCCTATTTGTGCATATTTCTCTGTTTTACTTAAGCAATTTCCTTACAAAAATACTCCGTAAGATCGATTGTGCATGTATTTCTATGAATCAATACCGTATAAATCCCCATCATACTAAAACTTATATGGCGTAGAATACCTAGAGAGAGAAGCAGAAGAGCCGGTACGATTAGTTGAGGTTATCTTGCCCCGGAACAGCTTCCCCAAGCTCGCGACTCCTCGGCTCTGCAAATTGGCGGCCATACAATACGGCTTATCGGCGATTGAAATGAAGAGAGAATGATAACGGCTCTGCTTTCTAGAGAGAGAAAGAGTGAAATTTCTTAGTTTCTGAGGATAAACAATGGGCGTGGATATAGCCCTCAATTTATATTAGTTGGGGAGGAGGAGGAGGGTACGGTCCGTGCTACCTACCGGACATCTGTCTCTGTTTATCTCGTCAGCACTTATCTGGCTACCACCCAAGTACCACGGTCTACGGCGTCTCGTTCCGTCAATATCCTAACGCTGTCTCTAAACGGTCGCCGTTACAACTTTAGCCACGTATATCTGTGTTGGAAAACGAGTTTTGTCCCAAATGTATAACGTCCAAATGTACAACGTATCGGTGTGACTCAAGTTTAAAAGTCCATATGACTCATATATGAGCACCTCTTTATCAGAAACAATAGTCAATTTTTTTTATTTAATGTGTTTGGATACACTATAATCCATCATAGCTTTAGTTAACCAATCCATTTAGAAAAGTAGTTCAACTTTGCTTACTTTAGTTATTAATCAATTTAGTGCGTGAAATCAAAAGTTAGCTGATTAGACATATAAATTGAAAATATGGGTTACCAATCGGCTATTCAGTGTTGTTAAACATGCTTTAACAGTTTAAATAACTACTTTGTCAAACGAAAATAATCATAGAAAAATATGAATAGTTTTTTTCGCAAAACTTTCTAACCTATTATAATATATGTTCTGTTAAAGCTAACATCTTTGAACTGAGATGAGATTCGATAATGTGATTTGACTTCTTCTTTGGAAGTGTCACAATCGATACCATCAGACGACGACAAGGTACTTGAAAAAAAATATGAATAGTTATTAGTCATGCACAAGCAATCATCTTAAAATTATAAAATATTCGGGTGTGAAGTAAGATGTAGTTTTATCTTATACTTTCATTTCTTTCTCGCTTTGGTTGTATCATTTGAAATAATAATTATAATTAAGCACCCTTCCTCGTGTATCCTATATATACAAATTATGCTATTTGAATTTCAAATGATTGTGTCTTAATAAGGTTGAATAGAAGATGATTAAAATCATCATGCCTGAGAAAATTTGAAAAATGGAGTACTGGATGCATGGTCTACTCATTAATGTTGTGAGCATAACATACAAATTAAAGATGTTGTTGATGAATTTAGAAGATGGGTTTGATTACAAAACTAGTTTAAAGATGATATGGAATTACACTCAGTGATTATTAACTATAACAATCAAGTTAATAGTTAATGGTGATTTCGATTAATGGAGGTTTCATTTACTTCCTTATTAGCTTGGTCACATTTTTTATGTATCGATGCATGCAACACGTTTTCAAATTTTGCATATTCAATACAAAATTTGAATAAAAGAAGTTCGCATATTAAAAAAGAATTACATTCATTCATACTTCATTACCAACTTTTCTTATATATATGATTGTTTATGAAATTTTGAAAAAAAGTTATGATGATTATTATTTATTCTTTAAAAAAGTTGCTATCACATAATTTGAATTAAAATAAATAAAAAGTTTATTTTGGTGAAGCGCATACTAAAAATAGTTTTATTTTTTAAAAATCTCAATTATATATCATGAACATACCTTATTTATCTATGATCGACTTGACTCAATGAACACACAAAGTCATATAATCAATGCATAAGTGTGAAATTTAATAAAATCTTTGATCTTATGTATCCCCTCACTTAGCATGACCTTGAATTTAGGAAATCATACTCCCAAACGTGGATTACATGGTATCATGAAAATTGATTTATTTTCAGTGAGAGTTTGATTTCTTTCATTCATTCTCTTTGAATATAAAATAGTCTTCGGCAGAATATGTTCAGCACATAACCTAACTCCGGCCAAAACTAGGAATTAAAGGCAATATGTCAAATGTTCAATTCTATATTCTTTAATTTTAGAGTGTTGTTATTCAAAAAAGAAGAAGGATTGTATATTAAGAGGCGATTCTTATCATCCGATTAACAATTAGGGAGCAATTTCATCATAATGAGAGAGCTCGGGTTGGCCTTGCGACCCTTTCTTTTCATCCAACTTCTTTCACTCATTCTCTCATTTTCATTAATTAATTGTTTCCCTTTCAGTACGCGTAAATAAATGAAATGATGATAACACAATTCAGTAACTCACACAATGTACTACTTCCGTCCCATTTACATCATAATGAACACATTACACATAATATCTACTACGCAATTTTTATTTATGTTTGTATGAGTTTCATGTTGCTTCAAATTTGGGGTGGGTCGATGTCTGGCTTGCCCCCCTCTACCTCCGGCCCCGACTTTAGCCCCTCCTTGCATAACTCTTTCCATGTCGCTAAATCTTGATAATACTTAGTCAAACTTACTCCCACTCTCATGCGTTCATTACTTCTCGAAATCTATCACCTCATCGAAGTTTCACCCAATCCTCTTACCTACTTCGGCTATGTTTGGCATGTCATCTCAACTCAAAGAGCTGAAATTCTCTAAATTTAGTTAATTATCCGTAAAATATGGCGAAATAGTCGATTTGAGCTTAAGCTGGAAAAATAAATTTTGGATTTTTTTCTCTATGTTTCTTGCTCGTGTTTTGAGTTGCTGGATCTCCAGTTGTGGCAGATCAGGTGAACTATAAACATCTAGCCCTTTTATGTTGAGTTCGTGTGGCATGGGATTGAGTTGTTATAAGAGATCTTTAATGGGTAAGTAGAATTTTTTTTAGGGAACATTCTCCATTAAACATGTCGAATTTATGGACAAGGGGAAAATAATTAAAATATCCTAAACTTTGAAGGAGTGTGAGATAAACATCCCAAATTTACATATGTAATTTAAATACCTCAAACTTTATATAAAAAGTTATTCTAGCACCATGGTCAGAATAATTTCTTTCAAGCTTGATAAATTTAGCATTCATAAAGATACAATTAACATTCTAAACTTCCATTGTAAAGTAAAGTGTATTACCCACCACTATATATAATTATAATGTTTTCAATTTTCTATTTTAAATTATGCATTTAACACCATAAATTTACATTTTCGAAAGAAATTACACATAACCATGGTGTTAAAATAACTTTTTATATAAAGTTTGGGGTATTTAAATTACATATGAAAGTTCGGGGTGTTTATCTCACACCCCTTCAAAATTTGGGGTATTTTAATTATTTTCCCAAATGGACAATCATTTGGCCTTTTACGTTAGTCTAGATATTCGATAAGAATGACATTCAACTACTTGAAGGATGATGGGTATCAACTTTGTTAGTCATGGATTGTTTTCGGTCCTTTTTGTTGCACTCTTCCATTTAGGGACCAAGAATAGTGGGGCATTATGTCTAAGATTTTAAGAGTTGTATTCTTAAAATATTTGTTGATGATAAAAGTACATCTAAAAATTGTCACAGTGAAAAGGAAAACAATCAATTAAAACTTCATAGTACGAAACAATAAAATAAAAACATAGTAACATAACCAAATGTTCAGTAAAATTGGAATGAAGTTCGATTATGGTTCCCGAGACACTCCCTTGAAACCATAGTTACAGATGAACAATCACAAAACTCTAACCGAGTGATGATAAAAAAAAATGAGACCAGTAATAAGATAAACCTAGCCTAGCAAAAACACAGAAAGCATATATTCTCATCATGTATATTTTGTACATTCAACTACTAATTTATTTATATTATGCCTGCATTTTATTATTTTAAAAATCTAAATCTATACATTAACAATAATCAATGTATTTGTATGTATATGTTTTTAGCGATAAAATATACTACAATAGCAAGCCTTAAAGTTTTGAAATTTGAAGAGCAATATGTGTTTTCACAAAACCTAACAAAAAATGCAGTTCCCAAAAAGTTGGTTCAAGGCCATACATTGTTTAAGGCTTTAAGTCAATTTAGGCTTCGAATATCTCGAAAACTAAATGCATGTTAAGTTTTTGGATATCCAAATTTGGTTAGGGAGCCAAACTAAACTAAGCCCTACTTTTAATTAGTAATTAATCGCACATGTGTATTTTCTTAGTTCAAAGTCATCTTCTGTGTCTCTTCATGGGTTACACTGCCCTGCATTTTATTTGATAATTTTTTAAGTTCGCCATTTGCTTCATTGTTCTTTCCCTTGGCGCCAAGTTTCCTTGTCAGAGAGGGGATATGTTAAAAATAAGTTTATCAAATTCATCAACTTTTATGTTCTACAAACTATCAGAATTGGGATTACCTTCACCCACCTCCAAATTTTCTTCCTCAACTTTACATTGAAGGAATTCAATTAAAGTCATCAACTCCATATTAAAATGTGGATTCAGTAGAAAGTCAGATACATTGCTTTTGCAAGACGGACAACCTGTTACATTCTTTTGTGTTCGCAATGTTCATCTTTCATCATAGGTGCTTTGTTCCATGAAAGCCTGACATTTAAAAGTGCCTTCAATTCTAAGGACACCTCGCAAAAGTTATGGGCACACGTTGTAGTGAGAGGATCAACCAATACCCTGTGGCAAATAAGATGGATGTACTCCTTTAGAAACATTTCCTTCATAGACACTTTCTTTTTTGTGGACTTAACTGTTCTCGCATCATTTCAATCTTCATCATTTCATAGTCGGACATTCTACTTATCAGATGAGGTCTTTTCCAAAGCTAACAACTTTTTTCCTCATCAATATCCTAGGCATGATCTCCCTTTCTTTCAATTATATCAATAGTGTCGCTCTTTAACGCCTTAATATTAGGCAACGGTTTAAGACGGTCCCCAATGTGATCACTTGTTAGAAGAGCATGTCCATTATCATTGCGTACAAACATATATCCACAAACCTTGTGTCCTTGAATTCCATCTTTGCGCCAACATTTCTCTATCCTATAAATTCCATCATAACATACTTCTTTCTTTGGAGCATATGAAGACCGCTTCTTCTTTCAAGACCTTACTATGCGGACATGATATCCTTTGCGACAGCTTCATCACCCCTTTCGAATTTTTGATCAAAGGTTTGCTTACTATTTTTTCCTTTTATTTCCACTCAAGACTCTTCCACCATTTCATGTGTAGAGGAACCACTTTCTATGAACCTTTTCTTCTACAAAATCACTTGAAAGTGCCATTAACTGGGCCCCATAATCTCATTGACCATCCATTCTAGCAACGTACACGAAGTGAGCACCCCACTTTCTGCACTCCAACTTATCTTTCCAAATATCTCCAACCAAGACACCAAAGTTTCGTTATGGATCATGCTCCATAGGAATTGGATCAAACCGGTCTTTTGGTATGTTAACAAAATTCTTTTCACTAGCAGCACTAGCCTTTCCAGACTTTC